ATTGATACCCATTTTAGGCCTAATAATTGGTCATAAAAGCCGACATTTCCGGGCGCGTCCTCCCGATCCCCGTATAGGAACCCAAACGGCCCGACCCTATAATTCACGGCAACGACCACCACATCACGTGTGGCCAAAGCGCTCCCGTTATACCACTCTTGAAATATAGTCCCAATATTAAGAGCCCCTCCATATATCCAAAACATCACTGGCTTTAATGCTGTGGTATTTGCTGTCCATATGTTAAGCGTCAGACAGTCTTCACTCATACCTGTGCCCGGAATGATTGGCATGATATGCACCGGTTGTATGCATGCATTTTTTGGTTTTGTCGCATCTATTATTTCCTAAAATATTAATATTGTTATGTAATTTAATTATTAGGTTTTAATTTAATATATTAATCGTTAACTAGTAACTTATTTTTGTTATAGTTAAACTATGTTTACTGTATATTTTAATTAACCATATATTTAATACTTACTGGAAATGGTTTGGAAATGAGTTCGGGTTTAGCAAACCTACGTATGCCGACCGGGGGTTCGGCGTAAGGAATGCCCAGAAATTGATTTACATTTGTGTCCAACACATGTAGTGTCCGACCCCTCACTACTCCTATACTTGTGTTCACATCAATACAGTTCACTGTATTTAATGTGAAATATAAAATAATTATTTTAATGCTGTTATGAATATTTAACATTTTGCTATATTTATTGCAAACTATACCAAAAATTTATTACCAATAAATAATATTTTAATTTATCAACAGCAATATATACTGTATTTATCTGATTAGATAATTCAAGGGATTAATTAATATAATCTAGAAAACACTTATAAATTTGCTAAATTTTTTTTAAATTATAAGTGGGAAAATTTTGTAAATCATTTATACTACTTTACTCTTACATTGTTTGAGTAATGTGAAATACCAAGTTATTATTTTAATAATTTTATAAATATATAAACGCAACATTTTGTTTTAATCTACCATACACATTAATTTTTGTGTTGGTATTTAATACTAATTATTTTATATATATTTTATTCTTTACATTATATTTATAAATAGTATTTAGCAATATTTACTATTGTACTAAATTGTTGTACTACTAAATAGTTTAATACAGTTGTATCAGCAAAATATCTATGATAAGATAACTATAATTATTATTTGTAATATTAATTTATAATTTGTATTTGTTATAATATTATTATTTGTTATTTGTAATAATTTAATTATTATATTGTTAGTTACTGTATGTTAATATTAATAGTTAATTAATTGTTATAGGTTACATTTACAGGTATTATTTTTAAACATTTTGATTAAATGTATTAATATAAAATTCCTTGGATTTTATCTTACTATCAGTTTTTAATTTTAGTTTATGATGAACTCATTGTACCAAATTTGTGAAGTGGTTTTTTTAATACAGCAAGTGACTTTGTTACACTAGTTCTGCTGGCTAGTTGCACTAACATTTAGTGATTATAATTAGATTATAACCTTATTTTAGAAATAAACCAATACACATTCTCCCTTCCCATCCGTTCAATACAAATTACTAATCATATTACAATTGTTACATATTAAGTACATTGTATATATTGACGGACTATTTACACTAACACTATTACTTAAAAATAATTATTATAAGGTTTTATTGCCAACGAAGTTACTTGAGTTACTTTAGGTTACCTGAGTGTATTGGCGAGTGTGATAATACTGTAACATTCAAACATTAAAATGGTTATTAAATGCTATATACGCCAAAATTTAGATTAATATCTTATAATAACTAACTAATTAATAATGTTTTATACAATTTTTTAAATATATGATTTTTAAATAGAATTAGTTTTAAAATATTGTTTATTGAACCAACTTTAATTTCGTATATTTATTCGTGTACATATAATACTTAATAAAAAATGTTATTAAAATTTTATCGCATAGTTGCTAAATATGTTACTAAATATAACAATGACATTTTTTAATTTCAAGTTTACAATAATTTGTCAAAATTAAATTATAATGATAATACCTTATTCTGTACCCGATTGAAAAGTACAGGTAAGTCAGTAATACAGAATAATCCATAGATAAATAGTGTTATTCTGATAAAATTAATTTATTTATAAATATATATCCATATCAGCATTGAACAACAACAATGACATTTTGTTAATATAAGTAGAATAAATAGTCTTATTTAATTATAAGATTATTGATTTCTTTAATTTGCTTAAATAATAAATTATTAATAATACAAGTTATTTAATATTTATGTAATTAATAAAATAATAACATTATAATTTTGTTTATACATATAATAAAATATTATTTTGTAAATTAATAAACAAATTGTTAAACCTTTACAACTTTTCAGTTATATTTGTGTTATATCTGACATTAAATACTGTTAATAGTATTGATGTGAACACTAGTATAGGAGTAGTGAGGGGTCGGAGACTACATGTGTTGGACACAAATGTGGATCAGTTTGTGGGCATTCCATACGCCGAACCCCCGGTCGGCAAACATAGGTTCGCAAAACCCGAACCCATTTCTA